TTCACCTCCTCGGTGAGATAGAGCAGTTGTTAGCCTTTAACACCAAAGGCTTCTTTACAGAGATTTCATCAAGACAAAAATTAGCTCACCGTGAGGAACTTAGGTCGATATTAACTAGAGCAACTATGTGAAATCCCCTCTCACAATCCCTTGAGTCTCAGATGGTTCTTCTCTCTCTCTCTCTCTCTCTCTCTCTCTCTCTCTCTCTCTCAACCTCTTCTCTCCATTGCTTAATGCCCTCACTTCTAACAATCTTATTGAAGAAACATACTTATGATTGCCAAAAGGCTCCTCTAAAGTCATAACAAGAGTTTAAATAGAGGGCTTACAAAAAAACCTTAAATTTTTAATTCTTCAACTTCTATTTATATACAATATGATAGGAGTATCCTATAATATAATTATTTCTTAATCTAATGTACCATCCAAGATCATCCAATTTGATTAGTTCGATCAATTATTAGTTTGACATGATGGACTCCAGGATGATTAACTATATTTTAGAAGGTCGCTCTGTCGATTATCCTGTACGATCATTATCATATCATACAATAATAAATCTTGCTTAATCTTGATTCAGTAGCTTTTTTATAGGGATTAAATTAAACAATATTTCTAAACATCATATATTACAAACTAGTTCATATAATATGATTATAATAAATTTCAAAATTCAAATTACTGCCTAATTTAAACTACGACGGGGATACCAAATATAACTAATCGTCTTATATAATATTGTGGCAGTACAACATCATTAGTTATGGCCTTTTACAAATCAATCTCATTTAGTTAAACACTTAAATTAATTTTTGATTGCACAAATTGTATACTATAGTCAAGATTTTCTAATATGATCTTTAAAATTAAATTGGGGGATTTACATACATACCACTCTATACTATTCTATTTATATATTTAACATCTAAAACATTAATACTACATATATACCACTCATAGTTAATTTTTATATCAAATAGGAGTGGTAGAAATGAAATATATGAGTGGGTTAAAGGTAATATGAGTGGTATATTTGATATTAAAATAGTATAGGGTGGTATGTATGTAATATTAAAGTTTTAGATATTAGATATGTAAATATGATGTTATAAAGTGGTATGTATGTAAATTTCCCAATATTTAATTATACTCCCTCTTGTGTGTGTGCATGATTACTAACCCACCATACACTTATTACAAATGTTGGCTCAAGAAAAATTAAAATTACGAACTCTTTGAGGTAGATTGACTCACACACTTTCTTCAGCTATGATTTTTTTAAAAAACTTTTTACGACTTTGTGTATGCAGAACTTGAAATATTAGTAGTGCACAAGAAAACTATATAATGTATAAAGAAGAAGAAAATAAATAAACATCAAATAATGTTTGTACTAATCAAAACATAAGATCAGGTCTCAAATTGCAATAAAAGTTATCTTCTATTTAAAAGAGTTTAAAGATATTACTATGCGGAGGAACTAAAATATAATAATAATTTTTTCTTCGAGTGAGAATAACATATGTTTATCCATCATTTATATACTTAGAAGATATTACAAAATTCTCTTTGTCAAGACATGCTCATGTTACTATTATATCTTGTTAGAACTTTTAAAATTGATAGAAATGTTGTTAATTCAATATTTTGAGTGCAATTAAAGCACAATTATGTATATTATTTATTAAATTAAAAATATAACATTAAATAATGCATTGTATAATAACTTCTTCATCCATTCTAACTTACACAAAATATTTTGCTGGATGATTAAAAATTGTTAATAGTATAAGCATCCAAACATACTATATCATATACTTATCAAAAGTTTATAGAACAAAAATGAACCATCAACCAAGTTCTTTCAATTTCATTTTCTTATCTTGGGAATAACTATTGTGTTTTGAAGGTATTTGTTGTGACTGTATGGCATAAGTGACTAAATGAAATATTCTAGGCCCTTATACTATGGTCCTATTGGGCAAGCACCCTAACATATGATAAGGTTAAAATTTGTTTAATATTTAACATACTATGAAGCTATTAAGATTGACTAACTAAATATAAGTCCTTAATCCACCATAAGAGCTTTCCTAAGAACTGACAAAATTTCATGTATAATGGCACATGTCATTTGGTAAGCAACATAGATAGCATATTCCATCTTGTTCCAAAATTTTGGAACCATATAATCATCTCTTGGTGTTGATTATAAATGGAACTAAGAAGGACATACTATATTTGGGAATTAAGAAAAAAAGGGGGAAAACATATCTATTAATGTTGGTGATTTTGGACTTGAATCAAATTTAGGTTCTACATCATTCATTAATATATGGTTGGAATATCTTATTGTAATGAATAAGTGTTCAAAACTATCATCCTTTTTTTGGCTTGTTCTAGAAGAGATGTTGTTAGGATAAAATTGTTGTAATGGTAAGGTGTGGTTTAAAAAATCCTTTAGGATAATATCAAATTCAACCATCTATGTGAAACAATATTACTAATCTAAGTTCTAGACTTTATTGTGCTTGAAGTTTGAGCTCATCAAGATTATCTAGCTCTTCAAGATGAAGTTGAGTATTTTGTTTATGGTTAAAACTTGTACTCATGGCTATATGTAAAGAAGACAATTCTGCATACAAATGAATGATTATTTCTAACTTGTAAGTTATAGCATAAAGAGTTGATTGAGTTGGAGTTCTATAAGAAATTCAAAAATCCCATAGAGATTCTATTATGTCATTTTCGCATTTATTGGTTATTAAAGTTTACCTTTTAATGTAGGAAATAGGTAATAAATTATCAAAATTGACCGAAACTTAAGAGATCAAGTACCTCAACGTGGATTAGAGTTTAGTTGGTTCAACCTAAAAATATAGAGGTTCTATGGGATAGGTCATCAACCCGACAACCCGCCGGGTCGGGTTCAGGTTTGGATTTTCGACCCGTTTGCCTAACCGGGTCGGGTTAGGGTCGACCCGTTTGAACCCGGGTCATATCCGGGTCCGACCCGAACCCGACCCGTGACTCGAAATTGACACCCCTAGGTTCAACACTAGGGTAGTCAAGGGTTCCTATTGGGAAAACTTTGATGATATTTTACATAGATTAGTTTAAAAGATTCTTAGATGTGTAAAACTTTCTAATGAAATTTTTTACGTCTTATGGCCAAAGAAGGCGGAGTCTAGGTTTGAAATTTTCTTTGGAAAGCTAACACTAAGGTAAAAGAGAATCTTCAAAAGATAACTAATGAGAAGAATTAAGGAAAAGGAAGAATCACTTATAAATGAAAGGCTAAGCAGAAAGAATACATTTTGCCACCTCTTTCAAAAATAAGGTAAATATGTTGAAGATTCCTTAACTAAATGTAATACGATTCTTTAGGAAAAGTCATTCCATAAAATAAAGGTTGAATCCCCCTAACTATGTTAGAGGAATATCTTTTCACTTTAAAAATTATGCGATAATAATCATAGAATGAACAAAAAGCTAAGAATATCATGAAAGGACTTTAAAAGGGTCATAAATAAAGTAAGGAATTCATGTAAAGGTATAAATAAACTAGGAAAAATTTGTGGATCTGACATCATGAATTATTGATATGAAGATTACATAGCAATGAAGATAGTCAATCCAGCCCGACTTCAAATCACTTTATCAGCAAATATAAATTATATCATCTTGAGCAAATATCATGACCTTAAATTATAGGAAATAAATAAATATTCTTAGACAAATAGGGGGCGGTGGTTCTCGAGAAGTAATGGCCTACAATACTTACAATATAATAAGTGCCCATAGAAAGGAGTGAGTGAGATAGCATAATTATATATAACCAAAGATTTTCAAGTGAACTTTTTACTATGTCTTGATTAAGACAACCACTATTTGGCATGGTTGACAACCATCTATGCGTACAAATTATAATCATTTAGTCAAGTTAGGAGCTCTATCCTATACGGCATGGTATAAATACAAAGTAATGTAAAAGATTTTAACTATATGCATTTTGACTAGCCATATTATGAATATCAACAAACTAAAGGATATTATAGATGGCAAGCTCAACTCTATATCTCCGCAATGAGATACAATGAGAATAAATTTTAATTAAATTTTTGGTATTGAAGCCAAGCATTTAATTTAAAAGTGTTTTTTTCTAAATTGACTTTATATGTTGATTATCATTTTATTAAAGTAATTAAAAAGGAATTCTTTTTCTAGGAGAATATATACTATAATGCATGATTTCTAAACATATTACACAAAATAAGATAATATTTTGAAGAAAAAAATTATTTTTTACACTACAATACAGTGCTTAGCAATATTATTATTCTCCATAGAGGATGACCTCTTTTTTAATAAATTCATTACAGCTTCGGAGAAATATTTTATACTTGTAATTAGTTTTAGCCTTTCGATCTCCGGAGGGCCAATCATTGCAAAAGAATACAATAAATATATCAATAAAATACCTTTGGGATCCCATCATACCAGCCCATTCCCACGTATAACCAGCCTGTCTCTGCCTTAGTCTACTCTCTCTCTCTCTCTCTCTCTCTCTCTCTCTCTCTCTCTATAGTTTGATTAAATTTTAAGATATAGCCAGCCCAAATTTTTTATTTATTTGACAATATATAAAAAATTAAATAATATTTAGGGAATTTATATACATAATTTATATCTTCTGTATTTATGTATATGATATTTAAATTTTATAAAACACAAAATAAAGAAATTATAGACATAGTTATGAATAATGAAGATGTTTATGATCTCTTATAAAAAATAAAGTTACTACATAAATAAATATAAATATTTAAATGTTAGGTGTATAAATAGCTTTTTATTTAAATCTCTTTAGCATTTACATTTCATTTATTTGATCCGATATTCAGAGCTATTTTTTTCTTTATATAGCCACATCTCTCCCTTCATCAAAACTGTGCAAGAGAAATCTCTCTCTCTCTCTCTCTCTCTCTCTGATCAAGGCCATGGGCTCTCTCATGGTAGAGAATATCCCCAAGAAAAGCTTCATGCCTTCAATATCACCAAAAGACCATAACCTCCCTATCTGCCAAACCACCAACAAACTAGACACCAATCTCTTCGGCCTCAGGCGCAGAATATCTTCCTTTTCCTCCTCAGCTGCTTCCACATGGGGAACTCTCTGCCGCTGCCAGTCTGCGCCGGCATTCATCTGCAAGGATGCCAACGGCCCATTGCAGCGCTGGTGGATATGGGGCTTGGCTTGGCTCCTCGCAATAAAGCCAGGCTTTCCGAAAGACTTGGAGATGAATGAGGAGGCAATGATGCTTAGCTTTAAGAGGAAAGGGAGCCTTCGCCATATCTTTTTCAAGATAGGTTCGGATGTGAGGAGGATTGCTCGATCAGAGACTTTGCCAACGACATATAGATGAATTTTGAGGAAGAGGAGAGGGAAGGGATATGAGGAGGGTAGAACGGGGGGAATGAGTTTTAATTATTTTTTTTTTTTTTTGGGTTTGTTCTGATTTGTGAGATGGGTTTTGACGAAATTAATAATAATAATTGGAGCTATTGGTAATTTATAGTCTTGCTTTTCTTAAGAGTGGCGGATTTGAGGCTGTAAGACACCGAATTGGGTAAAACACCCCAATTTTTCTATATATATATATATATATATATATTGGCGATGATACATATTGATCTTTTTTTTTTTTTTGATGAAACTGCCAATTGCATTAAAAGCAAAAAAGAAATCCTAAAACAAAAACTAAGTGATAGCAATCCTATCACTTTCCTCCTTTAACAACGAATAAAAAATAAGAGGAACCTTATTAACTTCTAGAACATCCCAAAAGAAATCTCCTTTCAAAGCATAATTAGCGCAACAATGAGCTAACTTGTTACAACTTCTATTAACAAAATGAAATAGAATTACCTCAAACCTATTCAGAAAGTCCAAGTCCTCTCTCATTGACTGGTCCACCGCTCGATTTTCATGAAAAACCGAGTTCTATAAATGCCTTATGACATTAAAATTGTCTCATTCTATAATCAAGCCTTTAGCATTCATCATCCAAACCTTGATAACTCTTCTCAACGAACGGAATGCCAATAACTCCAAGTATCCAATGTCCCAGTGAACCACCGAGAATCCAAAAGAGAGAAGCATCCTTCCTCTATGATCTCTGAATATACCTCCAATCCCTGCTTCATTAGAAATAAGTAGAGATGCATCTATGTTCACCTTAATCGATCCGGGTGGAGGGGGATGCCAAGAAGAAGAAGTCAGCTTGTAATGCTGGTTAGCACCCCAGTGGTCCATAAACAGATTACTAGATGATATAAATGCATAGGTAATAACATTGGTCACAATAAACCTAGCTCCCAGCTCTTGGCCTTCATGAACAAGATTGTTTCTACTCTTCCAAGAATTGAACACCAACGCACAATAAGTTCTTGCAATAAAGGGATCCTCCTTCCCTTGCTTCCTAAAAAATATTAAGCATTCTTGTAAACTGTTGAAAACAGGTAAAGAAAACCCCCACCGGTTAGCCATTTGAATTACTTGAATTAGTTTCAATCACTTCACAGCCACATGCTCCTCATCTTCCTTCGTATCACAACCTCTTGGACAAAGGTTATTTTCATTCAATCTTCTGCGCATTAAGAAATCCGTTGTAGGGATGGCATTCTTCAAGAGTTTCCACCAGAAAAATGATACCCGAGGATTTAGCTTCAGTTCTCTGATGCATTTCCAATCATGTATTAAGGTATGATCGTTTTATTCCTAGTTTATGTTTCTACATCTTGCTATAGCTAAAATAGTTTTTCCAGTGAAACTTTTCAATAACTCCAATTCGTCTTCATGATTGTATATTCAAATCTTTGTTTTATAGATCACCTTCACCAGTTCTTCCCCGAAAAACTCCTACAGCTTCTCTGGAATCCATTCTCTACCCGAAATAAAACTAGATAGATTTGGCAAATTATCATCCCCTATTGCAATGAGTGTTGGCCATCTGTCCAGACTTTTATCAAGGACCCAAATGTCCTTCATAATATTTACTGAAGCCCCATCTTTAATACTCCACCTCACAATTTGCCTTAAAGCCTTGGCTCCACTCAGCATCAATTTCCATGTTGTAGAAGAGTTCAGCCTTCATCATCCTATACACTTATACCATACTTTGTTGATAATGATTTACTAAGCATAGGCTTTGGCTTCTTCAAAAAATTCCAAACCAGCTTGGGTCTTAAGGGTTCCACCGTATCTACAGTTGAATGAATACCAAGTCCTTGGCTTTTCGGTTTGCATATATCTTTCCATGCCACATATTGTAGTCCATTATTCCAATTACTTTTATTCCATAGAAACTCTCTACACATCCTATCAAGTTTCTTCAATATGCTCAATGGAACCAGAGATATAGACGAGTGAAAGACGTGAGTAGCTTGCAACACTGATTTGATAAGCACCACTCTGCCCGTCAAAGAGATAAATTTAAATGCTGCTTTCTCCAATATCTTAGAGAAGTCTGCTACTACAAGTCTCCTTAAAGCAATTTTTTTGCTCAAGTAATTGAGCTCTTTGACCTCCATGAACCCCATAAGATTAGAGATTTCCCTCCTCCTACTTCTCTCCATATTCTTTCTATAAATGATAGAGGATTTTGAAAATTTACTTGCTGACCCATCCACCTACAATAATCCATTGTGATTTTTTTGATTCTCTTTAAATTCTCCATCTTGGCATTAGAGAATATCAATATGTCATCTGCAAATATCAAATGAGAAATCCTTGGTGCCATAGGGGCTACTTTTAAACCCAAATTCCTTCCTTTAGAAAAGAAGGCATTAGTGAGTAGCTGGGAGCATAGAATGAACAAGCAAGGAGATAATGGAAAACCTTGTCTAAAGCCGCTCCTTCCTCTAATTCCTTCCAAACCGACTCCATTAATTTGCACCAAAAATATAAGGTCAGTAACACATTCCATAACAAGGTTGAAAAATCTTTCTAGAAAACCAAAATAACTCAAAACTTGTTTAAGGGTGTTCCAGGCCATACTATCGTATGCCTGTTCCATATCCAGTTTGATTGCCACCAATCCCCTTTTAGATTTAGAGAACTTGAACTTATGAAAAAGTTCCTGAGCAAGAAGCATATGCTCTGATAAAGTCCTCCCTTTTATGAATGACACTTGTTCCTCAGATACTAAGCAGTGAATCACTTTCATCATTCTATTTAATAGCACTTTTGCCACAATTTTGTAGATTGACATGCATAAGTTAATTGGCCAAAAATTAGAAGGAGATAAAGGATTACTTAGTTTGGGGATAAGCACCACCGATGTTTCTTTCCATTTGGAAGACATTTTACCCAAACTAAAGCATAGTTGAATAGCTTTCCACACGTCCATCCCAATGATCTTCCAGTATGCTTTGAGAAAGGAATTATTCCATCCACCCCAGGAGAAATGTTGTTGCCAAGTTCTCCACTCACCTTTTCAACTTCTTCAATAGAAAAAATAGCCTCCAAGATTTCACAGCTTTCACGTTTCAGGATGTTTTCATTTGAGGGCCAATTCTCCAATTGGTAGTCCCTATGCTTCCATTTGCTGCAAAAAATTGATAAAAGCTGCTCCTGATAATTTCTGGATCTTCAATCAGCTCTCCCTCTTCATTTTTCAATTGCTTAATTGAATTGCCATTTCTTCTACCATTAGCAAAGTCATGAAAGAAATTAGAATTCAAATCCCCATCCTTCATCCACTTGGCTTTAGACCTTTGTCTCCACCATGTATTCAACCATGCTAGAGTGCAATTGAACTCCTTTACTTTGGATCTAAGTAACAGAGCATTGCTGTCCGAAAAGTGCTATTCCATTGCTTCTTCTAGCTGAAGTTCTTCAATCTCTACCTTCAATTTTTCCTTCAATTCTTCCAGCTTTTGATGTTTTGCCTTGCTCCAAAAAAATAAGGCTTTAAGAACCCTTGACAGTTTCTTATTTAGAGCTTCCATATCATCTCCTCTCACATGTTTAGCCCAAGAATTCTTGACTACCGAGGCTGCAGCAAAATAAGACAACCACACATCTTCAAATTTATGAAATCTGGTTCTATGATATTGCTGATTAAACATCTTCAATACAATGACACAATGGTCTGAAGCGATTCTAGTCAAGTGCCTCACTGCCGCTTGATTGATCAGCTCCAAGGCTTTCGAATTCAGTATGCACCTATCCAACCTCTCAAAGATCCAGGCACTTCCACTCTTATTGTTAAATCATGTATACTTTGAACCAAGAATACGCACATCATGTAGATCATTCCTATTCATGAATGCCTTCATTTCTAATGGTCCAAGTGAGAAGGAAAATTTCCTCCCACCTTTCTTTTCATCTTGAGATAGTATGCAGTTGAAGTCACCTCCTACCACGGAAGGAACTTTTGCCTTCAAATTCCCATCCAGGAAATCCCATAATTCTTTTCTACCATGCATCTCGATCCCTACTACCATAAATAGTAGCTACCATCCATATGCCTTTATTGAACACCTTCAGCTCACCCATTACACACTGGCCTGAGGCTTTTAACAAGGAGAATGAAGCCAAATCAGATTTCCAGATCACCAGAGTTCCTCCAGATTTACCTCTAGAAGGAAGTAGAAAATAATCCCAGTTTTCACCCAAAAACTTGCCAAATTCTTCTTTATTTATTTATTTTTTGAAATATGCAATAGCAATTAAAAAAAGAACTAGATACAAGCTAAAGCAAAGGCTCACTTTCCTTCTTCAATAAAGAACTAAGAGAAGAAGGAATGTTAGCAAAAGAAGAACTATAAAAAAAAAGTTGTTATCTAAAGCCAAAGGAGCACACATGTCGGCTACTTTATTACACTCTCTATGAATATGGTGGAAAATTACCTTATTGAAATCGGCCAAGAATAGAAGATCTTCCTCTATCCGGTTGTAGCTTTGCCACTTAGCCTTATTCAAAGAATTTTGAATGAACTTGATAACGTTGAGTTTATCATCTTCAATTATTACTCCTTTGCTTTCAAGCATCCAAGGTTGAATGAATCTTCTAATTGTCATCACACCATCCATTTCAAGATGAGCTATTTCCCAATGCATTCTTCTTTTACCAAAAGCAATAAAAAATCTCCCTTTATAATCTATAAAGCAACCTACAATTCCAGCACTATACGAAGTTAGGAGAGACGCATCAACATTAATCTTAATCCATCCAAGCGGTGGAGGGTGACAAAAATTTTGAAACTCCCTATGGAGATTATCACCCCAGCTATCTATGAGTGGATTAGAGATTTTAAAAGCTGAAGATATAACATTTGCTGTTGTAACTGAGATAGAACTTGCAGTTTTACCATGGGCAACTTCATTTCTATTCTTCCAACTTAAGGATACCGTATTGCA